CACATGCCGCGTCGAGGGGGCAAAATGAGACGCACATGCACTGACACCCTGAGGCTCTTGACACCACTCATGCACATGCTGGGCCTACAAAATATCAGCATCGAAGCGGCGAAAAACTGAGCAAACCACAGGGGGCCTTTGGACAAAGAAGCCAATTTATGTCATACTTGTGGGTTTCGTGCTGCGTTCTGCTTTTCGGTTCAGGCGGGCTCGACTTGCTGTCTGAACAGGGCCCATCACGCTAAAGCTGGCTCAAGCCAAGCCAAGTGTTTTTGTCTCCACCTATCTTGATCCGTGCGGTATTTCATTTCCAGAGTGCAGAAAGGGTCTTGTCTGTGTCCGTCTGCAAACTCATGTCATTTGCGAAATGTTCGGGATTTCGGCTCGGACACTTCTAGTGCCGGCAGTTCACAGCCTGTGCGGCTCGCTGGTTCAGGCAGGCATGCACTACGCAACATGTGATATGGTTTTCCTTCTGCATGCATGAAGCAGGAGCAAATGAAGATTTGGTTGTGGAGCTTCGCCACGGCCGCGTGTGGCATACTCGTGGAGAGACACTCCTCGGAAGTGCATCTACAGCTTTCGGCCTCGCATTTGCCACCGTTCCCGCAGCCTCCGGTGCAGTCTGCCCTTCCAGAGCTGCCAACATTGCCACAGTCGGTTTTCGACATATCTCCACCGACGGTACGAATGATGCCAACATTGCCGCCGAATGCCTCTGAAGTTCCTCCAGCAACCAAGCAAAGGGAGGCATGAGCCTTCGACCCGGTAAGACGCGCAAACGCTGGACCATTGGAGTGAAAAGGTCCGTCGTCGTCCTTTGGAAGGTGAGCTCCACTTTGTACTCATCAGGTCTCGCGGAGATGACTTGAGCACTACTACGTAATGCAACCTTGGCAGTGGATTGGATTCAGGAAATTCTGCATGGATCTGCGGGTGAGCTGCTGGGGGTCGATGTAGAGGTGTCACAAACAGTAACATAGCTTGCAGCCTGTGTTATCACCGCATCAGCAAATCAGTGCCAAAAGAACGCTCTGGCCCAATAACACTCTGCAAACCTGCATGCTCTCGGGCACATATGGCAGCCACCAAGTTGCTGGGAAACCACTGAAATGTTTTTGCAACTGCCGATGGCTACGGTGCGTCAAGGACGTCCCACCCAAGCTTGGCTTCCAAAGAAGTCGGGAATCATCCACGTGAAATGCAGCACTGCGAGTGTTGTGTTTTTTTTGTTTGCTGTTGTGTTGCGCGCGTTTGTGCTCGTAGGCACGTTCTACACATATGCATCGCTGGGCATGCGTGTTTACACAGGTGTTGTCATGCTTGTTGCACCTCTTGGCTCTGCGGCTCAGAAAATGCACGAGTGTCACCGCATTATGTCAAGACTCGGCGACGGAGCACATGGCATCGCATTTTAGGCCCGCGCCTCAATGTCAAAAGAAGCACGGGTGCCTGGAACGCGTTTGATGTGACTTCTGGGGAAAACGGTATAGCGGTATCCGAAGGATTCCAGTCTAGGTTTCAGTTAGGTTGGTGCACGCTGCTGAGCCTGAAGAGGAGGTTCCTTTTGGCAATACCAAGAGGAGCTTGCACGGTTCTGAGATCATGACCCGTGTAGCCGACGAGCTGACGACAAATCCGTTCAGATGGGGCCTCAGACAGTGCAGATCTTGCTCGACATGCAGAAGTCTTTGGCTCTTTGGCCTGTGCTAGGCCTGCCTCCTGAGCTGGAATGCTTTTGGATGCAAGAACCCTCGGCCGAAAGGTCTGACGAGCGCTTGCAGGCTCCCTTCGAGATTTCTGCACTGCTTTGAGGCTTTGTCAATGTCTGCTTGCCACAGGAACGCGAGTTGAAGGTGTGGGAGAAGCCGACTTGCTTATCCAGCTATGCTGCGATCTCCAAGATTAGCGAGTCTGAACTTCCTATGGCGTGTGACTCTTGGGCGCGACATGGAAAGCCAAAGTCCATAGCAATGTAAATCCTCAAGCGAAAAGGAACATACCCGAGCGCTCGCCATGAGGCCTCTGCCTCGCGCAGCCAAAGAAATGCTTGCAGCAACGAAGCGGAAGGTGCCCAAGTGCTTTTGCTTTTTTGGTAGCTACTCCTTAACAGAGATCTCAGGTCATGGAAGAAGAGCAGCCAGACAACACTTTCCTGACGTGTGCGGCTGAAGTTCGGGTTTCGGGCCAAGTCGGGTGAGCCAATTGCGGACAGTCTTGCAATTCAGGACAATGGCCACAAAGCCAGCCATTGGACTTGTCGAGACCCTGCGCAAGAGTCGGCTGGCCGTCGTTTTAGACAGTGTCGGCGTTTTCTTGAGTTCACTTGAGTTGGAATCTAGCACGCTATTCACGACACACCACCTTCCCCAGGCGAGAAAGATGTCAGGACCTATGTGCAAAAGAAGCGTGAGGTTTTCCTCGTGCACATGGCGTGCGACAACAAGCGAGAGGAGATAGTTGGAATCTGAGTTCATGGTGCGCTGGCTTCAGATTCCATGGGCCATGCAGCTGTCCATGCAACCCCAGGTGCGTTTAGATGCCATGGCAAAGGCGAAGGAAGATGCTTTGACAATTCCCCAGCAAATTCTGGACGAGGACACCAAGAAATTCGAAGAGTACCTCCAGGATCTGCTGGAAGTTGAGTGTGCGTGGGCATTGAACATGGGAAGCTTGCTGAGGGCTTGAGTTGCAGGAAAGAATCGCCAAAGCTTCTTCCTCCACGAAAGATAGTGAAATGCATGCAAAGGTCAAGCAGGACAAACTTGGGAGAATCAAAAGCCTGAGACAACAGATCGCTACCGTACAAAGCGAGACGAGCAAGCTGAAGGAGGCCGAGAGGGAAAGGAGAGTTGCAAGACGATCAGATGCATAAGCCCTCTATAGGTGAGGGTGGAGTGCGAAAAGTACAAGATGTTCTTGGAGAAAATCACTCCCGCAGAATGGAAAGAAGAGCAGTTCGAGCCCCAGCTTCAATCAAAAGGATCGGAGGGACAAGAAGCATTGCGCTGCCTTTACGAGGAAGCGAAAAAAGGAGCAAAGGAAGAAGGAGCGAGCAGAAAGGCTCTTTCCTTGACAGCTGTGTGCCGGATAACCTGCAGCTTTCCGGTGAGGTGGAAGAAGGAGCGCCTGGCCCCCTTCATGGAATATCTCGCGCATGAAGAACAGAAACTCTTCGAAAAGTTTGCTCAGGAGGACGCTGAGGCCGCTGTTACTGTATCAGCGTGCAGGACACATCGAACAGAGCAAATGTTGTGAGGACGTGGGCCTTATGTAGAGGTAATACATACAGGGATGGAGGCTTGCTGGTGGCTTTGCTTAACGTTGGAAATTTTCGACCTGAGTTCGTGCCTGTGGATGCTCGAGCCAGGTGTGATTTTAGACTTTGCAGTACGCACGGATATGATTGTTGCGGTGGCTACATGCACACCACGACCGACAGAGATCTATAACATGGGCTTGTCCTCGAGCCTGAACGGGCAAAGAGGGCTTCAGAACAGAGCGAAGCGGAGCATGCAGCAGCCGAAGCTGAGCAAAAACACACGTTCTGAAATGCAGTTTCGGAACAGATGGTCGCGAAACATGCCGAGGAAACCAAGAGCAAAGGACAGTCAAACAAATCTCAGCCACTCTCTACTTGATGCGTTTCTTGATTGCATTTGTTTGCCACTCCAACCTGTGTTCCATTCAAGATCCAGCAGTTTCCTGTTCGGGATGGCCTGGCCCCCCCTTTCTATAGTTTCAGCCGCTCTCACAGTGCAATATGGACGTTGATGGATGTTGAGAGGCAGGAACGTTTGGAACGCCCAGGCCCAGTACCTTTACAGAGCTGCTTTCTGTTAGAATCTGATTTCGTGATAGCTGTGTTCCGAACCCTGTTTTTCGGCCTTCTGCTGTTTGATCCCTTGTGTGGATCGGACTGGCGTTCCCTGCCCCTGATCATGACCTCGAATGCTGTGATAGGGTACAGCCTGCATTGAGACAGGAGTTTGGAACATGGGCCCTGGTCGTCTTGCAGCATCATGTGACTTCATCGAAGGATTCAGCGGGATTTGTAGACACCAGCTGAAGCACAAAGCTGCAAGCAGAGCAGGCTGTGTTCGTGGATGTCTTTCATACGTTGTGATGAGAGGCCGAAGCTTCAAAGAAGCGCGGCAGGAAGCAACGGCGAAGAGAAGATGAGGCCACATGAGAAAAATCTAGCATGACAACTTTGAGTTTGGATGCAGCGGCAGCGAGAGAGACGGGGGAAACTTAAAGACCGCTTTTCGTTGTTCAGGAGGAGTTCCAGCAGCGGCAACGCGAGAGGGACAGTCGCCGCAAGCGCCTTCAAAAACGAAAAGAGGCAAGGAAGTGCTTCAGTGAAATGGGATGATGACACGCTTTGCTGCAAAGGAGGAGGAGAGGAAAGTCGATGCGGAGTGCTGGACTCAGAGCTACACTTAAATCGCCTAGAAGCAAATGCAAAGTGTGGTCTTTTTCGCATGCTGACAGCTCCCGGCCAGGTACGTTGCTATTTCTTCAGAGGAGGAGCCTGAGCTCTTCTTCAAGGAGGGGAGCGAAGCTGCGAAGCCTCGGCTTCACCAAAAAGCCCTGCAGTTGGGGCCCAACTCGGCTGCTCAGGAGCCCCAACAACTCATGGACAGTTTCACAGATCTGGAAGAGCTGAACCTCTTCCTCATCCAGAGTTCTCAGGCCCGCTGCAAAGGGGGGTGTTTGGGCTGAGGTATCTTGCAGAAGCCTCTGTGATGAAGGAAGCCGAGCAGCAGCTGGATGAGATTCGCAATAGCTTTGAAGCCATGCAGAAGAACATGGGCCACAAGGCCTGTTGCACACTAGCGCATGCTAGGCCACAGGCGGATTGCCTCAATGCGTGCAGACGGTCAGCAGGTGTTTCTTCGCAAGCAGGTTTTACAAAACCTGTGCTGACACTGGCCCGACTTGACGGCAAGTTGCACAGACTCCACTGCTTGCCGTATGCGTATGTATGTGTTGCGGTTTCGACAGTTCTATGTGCCAATGATTGGTGTAATTGCTGCTGGCGGCAAACTCACCGTACCAAATTGGCACGTCGCCGGCTTCTGCTGCATAGTCTCTCGCCTCATGTGTGTGTGTGTTATCAGATGCCCAACAAGGGTGAGCATAATTTAATCACGAACTTTGCAGGGTCGCTGCGCAGTAGCTGCTTCAAACGCAAGAACCCATCGCTGGCGATTGCAATTTCACCAGATTGAATTTTTCGCGATCTGCAGCACTCCAGTATGAGGATTTGCCGTGCCTTCTTGGATGAAGCCTGCAGGTGCAGCAGCTGAAGGATCAAATAAAGCAGTTGGATCAAAGTATCAAGCAGGCCCGACACCAGTGTACACGATGTTCAAGGACAGTGTCTTGACCAGAAGGGAGTGAGTGCATTACCGCGAGGAGCAGCGCAGAGGCGAAGAGATAAAGCAACGCCATGCGGAGAAAGCCAGCACAGCAACACAGGAGCCTCTTAGCACTTGTGCGGCCTTCGAATTTCTGGGAAGATCCATCAAGCGTTCCCGTTGCTGCTGTTCGCCTCACGCCCAAAAGCTTATGCCGAGGACAAGAAATTAAGTAGCTTGGCGAAGAAGGCCAGCGACGTTGTAAGTCGTGGTGGAAAACGGACATGCTTTCTGCATCTTGTGCCCTCTTGCCTTAGCGTTGTGCGCATCGTGCCTGGCAGGTGCATGAGGTGTACGCTCGGTGCAATCTGGCAAGAGACCAGCAGCAGTCAGATACACTACAGATGCTGGGGGCGATCGAATCGCGGATTGAGGAGTTAATTCAAGGCCTTGATGAGGCTTATCAGCAGGACTCCTCTGCCGCATGTGTCCTTGACAGGTGATTGCATGGCGTGACTGTCAGTGCATTAGTGAATCATGAATGAGCATGCTCCAGATGAAGGATGAAGAGCTGGTAATGCGACTGGAGAAGATCAAAGAGAGCGATCGGCGTGAGCGAGCTTTAGGCTTAGCTCGATCTCTTTGTCCCAATGGTTTGCACGTGACGGTGTTGCTTGCTGCTGCGAGAAGCTAAGGTGCGCGAAAGCCGACTGAAGGAACAACCAGAAAAGCAAGAGTTTCGGTTGAAGCAATCGCTGCAACGAGCGCAGAAGCCAATCTTCAAGAAGGCTTGATTCTGAGACGGCTTTTGTGAAGTGAGCTGGCGCTGGCTTCAATAATAATAGCATCCCGTCTTTTGTATGTACTCGCTGAGGCCGGCAAGCAGCTCATGTACCGGTCGCCACCTCTACGTCAGGAGCACAAAGTAGTGGAAGACAATTCCGATGATGAAGCGCATGCCAGAGACCACGAGGCTGCCACAGCAATTGCTTGCAATTGGTGTTGAAAATACTTGGTGCATCTAGAACGAGGTTTTCGACATCTACATCGACAGAAAGACGGGAGTACCGAATACGACTGCGCCTTCGGAAGAAACCAGGCGGGCTGGGCTGAGACTGCAGGATAGGTTCTTGCGACAGCATTCCGCGCCGGCCAGTGGCGCCCTTGCCGTCAGGCCTGGAAGCGCCTCGCATCGAGTCAGGACAACGTCTCACCAAAAGACACCGCGAGATGCGGCCGCTCCAAAAAGCGCGCGGCTGCCCAGCAACAGGGTGGTGGAAAAAAGTCAGCTCTTGCATGCCTGTCTGCGGCAGAGCACATTGCGCGTAATCAACCACTGCAGCATCTGGAGCTGGGCTTAGCTTGTCGCGCTGGTGGCTGTTGGCCTCAAGAACTACATGCTTGTAAAGGCATGCCGCAGCATGCCCTGGATGTAAAGATGAAATGGACGCTTGCTCTGCTTGCGGTGGCCTGGCCCACTGCTGCGTCGCAGCCCAAGTTTCAAACTATCGGTTCTGTGTTGTCTCATGTTGTCTCTGACCCCCAGCACCTAAGGCAGAGCCCTTTCGGCAACGGACAAAGGTTTGCGCCGGGCAATGTCGGGGCGGCAACTGGGGGCTTCGGCCAAATTCCTGGATGAAGCCTCAGCTTACAACATAGTGGAGCCTGCGATGGCCTGCGTGATGCGTCATGATTTGACAGCTCTCCGTCGAGAGGTGTTTCTGCGCCCGGACTGCTGACAACATTGGGAAGGCAGACGGACCAGAAGGACAAGTGCAAATGACGCTACCAAACCTCTCATGGACTCCAGGCAGCCTGGTTCTGTCGATTCAGGCCAAGGCCGCAGTCAGTCCAATGTTACCGCTTTTGGCTCGCCGCTCGCCCGAGGCTTTGCAAGACCGGCTGTTGAACCCTTTCAGCAGCCGGTCTTTGCGCAAATGGTGGATCCCGCCAGGCCATCACCCAACACGAAGGACTGGCCACAGAATGTGGCCTATGGATCTTATCCCGGTCCCACAGGGCTGCCACCCAATGGGCCACATGCAAATTGGCAAGTCGACCAGCGGGTGCCAGAACATGGTCAACATGCACAAGGCCAGCTTGGCATTCCCAAAGCAGACACTTGGTATATCTTGATATCATTTTGGTCACTTCTCGTGCAGCTCGCCTGGTTAGGCAGCGGCGGCGAGGGCATGCAGGTTTTTCATGCGGCGGTTCAGCTCATGCAGAAGGCCCTTGTGGAGTGATGGAGACGCCTTCGAAAGCAAGCATTTCCTGACGATGGCAGGGGCAGTTGATGGAAGCCAAGAAGGCCTTGACTGCTGCCGTGCATGTGCTTGCCAGGCTGTCTCGCTTGTGCATCGAAACTGGGGGGGGGGTATCTTGAGCACTAGATGCATGCTGTCAGGCCGGGTTCGTGCATTACTTGTCGTCCTGTATTGTATGCGTGTGGTTCTCGTCTTCCAAACCCTTGAATTCGTAATCACGGCAACCACTGGCTGGCGAACCAGACAGGATTTGTCACGGGTTGCTGGAGCGTGCATGGGGCATTGATTCGCTTCTGTCGATCATGATGCTGGCTGCTGGTCCACATTCGCCAGGGCACGTCACGTGATATTCTGCCTGTTGCCGCACAGCTTCGACATCGTATGGGCTTACCAGAGGCAAGGCGGTGCAAGGCTACCTTGGTTGGTAGCACCGAAACTCGCAGGCCCCCCTTGCAGTGTCAGTTCACGTGCTACCCTGCAGGTGTCGGCAGAGCAAGTGGAGGTAGGACGACAGGAACGGTTCGGCCTTGCCCAAACGCCACATCTCACTTGGCAGGTTTGGTTGGAATGGAGGACTGAAGACAGGTCCACCATTGGTTGGAAGGCCGGGGCACCCAGAACCCGTCGCCTTTGTCGTCAATTCGTCCAGTGAAGGTGCTTCTGCTCCTTAGCGGGATTCTGTCCGTGCTCGTTCTCGTGTACCGGGACAGAGCACAGAAAGGCCAACGGATTGCTGCCCTTGTCAGTTGTGGCGGCGAGTCGCGACATTGATACCGTGTTGGCGGAGGCATAGGGAGGATTCTGGTACGAAGACGAAGCGGACTTTCGCAGCAGGGTCAGACCGAGCCAGAGCCAGAGCAGAGAAGACCAGTTCTCGAGCCGAGGCGCCCAGGGGGCACCACGGCACCCTGTTGAGTTTTGCTCAGGTTTGCGTAGGAGCATGTGCCAGCATACCGTAGCAGGTTCATGCCAGCTGATGCTTGTATCGGTGATGATGCCGGGCAGCTGAACAAGATCGACAGACACGAGCAGACTGATGCTTATGCTGTGCCAAGCGACAGCGTGGCTGTCCTGGCAGGGCCTAAAGAGGAAGCCAGCCAGAATGAGATTTTCGACAGTGTTCCGAATGACTTGAGGGAGCCCGAAGCAGAGGAACATGTGGAAGAGTACAGCATGGCAGACTGCGAGGATGTCGCTACAGAGACTCTGCATGAAGGTGACCATATCGACCTTAGACCCTTCGTGAAGGAGTTGGAACAGGAGCCCGCTTCGCCAAGAGTTGGAAGCACCGAAAGCAACGGCGCCAAGTCAGACGAACCACCAGCAACTAGAACTGCGCAGATGGATGGTCGCGCGAAAGAGCCCGGATCTTGGAAATCTTGATTTTGCTCGCTCCCTTCACTTTGGTAGGAGCCTTTACCATCCTGAGGTTTCTCAGCGACGGACTGCAGCCATCGGCGGTAGTTTCAGCGGAGGCCCAAACTGCGCATGCTTGCATTAGCATCAGCTCGGCAGTGACACAATTTCCTCACCACAGGCATTGCCAAATCATGCCGAGGTCGATGTCACGGATTTGGATAGCAGCGCCTTGCAAGCCTCACATCAAAGGGCTGAAGCAGGTGTTCAGCTCAGTTTTTCGACGAGTCAAAGCACGACGACCAAGAACAAGAGAAAGGCACCGGTTCCCTGCCTGAAGGTGAGAGACGGAATCCGGAAGCGTTTCCAGATTCCCAGCATGCCCAGCCACAAAAGGCCAAGCGTCAGGTATGGAGATCCAGGGCGAAGAAGGCAGGACTTGGTTAGCAAGCTGTGAGATGCGCAGAATCAGAAGCAGCTGCAGCTGAACCCCAACGAACGGATGGGCTCACAGGCATTGAGGTCTTTGCAATTTGTGCTCGTTCACGACTCTTCGATGCTGATGACTGTGCTCCCTGTAGTGCTGCAACAGCCCTCCTGAACTATGAGCATTGTGCGCTATCGTGTCGTGATCCGTGTCAACTGCTGCTCCTTCTACCACTAATGAATTATCATGGTTCTGCTGGTACAATACTTCTTCTGCACTGCTGCTACTATTGACTTGTCAATGTGGTTGCAAGTTTCAGTCATACAAGCAGTAATTACTACTACTAATCCGTTGTGCCGGGAATCTAGAACATTTAATTGGAGAGTAAATCTTGCTAATCTTGCAATCTTGGTCATCGTGGTCGGAAAAGCAAGACTGCCGGCAATCTTGCAATCTTGGGCTAGCATTTTTACGGTCGTGTTGACTCGGTGCGAAATAATTGTCAGGAAGGTGTTAACACTCACTATACCGCCTAGTTGCACTAGCAGAGCACAGGTGTGCGCATCAATTACACGTGAAAATGCCTCCAGAAGCAATTCCTTTGCAAGCAGATTGTGCCAAAAGCGCATTCACCCGCGGAACCTACACGGTAGCTCGAGTTGGCGATGCTGACAGGTATTGGTTTTTGCACCCGCTTGAGTAGGCAGGGCTAGAGAGCAGCCAGCCCGAGAAGGCTCGATCAACACTTAGAAATGGAGGGAGCGGAAAGCCGGTGATGGGCGGTGTGATGAGTCTGAGCCATCCACCATACTTCTGACAGTGCTGCTGTCACCTGTTTCTTCTCTCCTTTGCAGCAGAACAAGTTCACTTTGTATCCCGATCGGCAGCTCTTCGTGCCGAAGCTGGGCAGTAAGGGCAGCAGTCGAGTCCCTTGTGAAAAAAGCTCTTCGTGCCGGCGCCTTTGCGTTCTGTTTCCTGCATGGAGTCCGTAAGATCGGTCGGCGCTGAAAGCTGCAAGAAAGCTATTAAAGAAAGTATGTCGTTTGTGCATCATAGTTCGCGCTCGGTGCAGTCTTGCATAGCCCTCGTCTACCATTGGAATTTCTAAGGCATAGAAGATACCGGAGAAGAGCCACCAAGCAAAGGCCTCGTCAACAAGAGCACCCCTGTTCTAGAGCTGGCAACGAAAGTGAACGAAGACAAGGATTCAATTCATTATTAAATCTCAACCAACCTGGGAGCTGAATTCACTTGTATGATATCACAACCCTGAATCGCAACATCTTCAGCCATGCAAGAGGCAAAAAATGTTTGTTGCTGCCGAAGAAATTGCACTGAAGCGTTCCGAAACTTGTTGGTGCTGCGATTCTCCGCACAAAAGCCGGCACGACTGTCTTGCAGGCCGAAGATGACAGACTTGTTGAAGCTGGGATGCTCGATGACGTCGTGGAAGCCTCGAAACCTGCATTTGCCACGGTGGGTCATTCCACGGACGGGCACAAGGACAAAGTCACGTCAGGGAAAACAGAGCACACCAATGCAGCCTCCAAGCTGCCACCCAAAGCGGAAGACTGGGGCTGGGGAGCTGGCCATCCACAGGCGCGCTGTCAAGTTTTCATCCTAGTGGTCGATTGGGAGGGTTGGCAGCGTGTTTCACAACATCTGAAGTCTCCGTCTGTTCAGGCTGCAAGTGATGGCTGTATCTATTTCGCTGGTGGTCCACCTCCGGGCCGCCAGATCCAGCCAACAGCGCAAGCTCCCGCCAAAACAGGACGTCGATGGCAAGCTGGAGGTGCGGAACCGCAGCGTAGGGCAGACCCGAGTTGGTTGGATCCAGATGCCCAGGGCGCGCCTCCTCAGTGCCAGACACCTCTGTGGAGGAAGAACTGCGCGCGCCTGATTCACGTGAACTTAGAGCGGACGGACAGTACAGCCGCATCATGTCATAGGTGTGAGCATTACTGTTCCTGCTCCTACTGCCAATTTTCAAAACGGCTGATTTGCAGGCTTGAGCTTGATGTCAAGCTGGAGCAGGAAGTGCTAAGTCTGCCGACATCCACGCCACCCCTGTGCAACATGATGCTGCTGGTGCAGGACGGCAACTTCTTCCTTGCCAAGCCCACGCGTTTCCGGCCGCAGGGGTGCTTCCTGCGGCTTCAAGGCGACATGCTATCAATCGCTTTTGCTTGTCAATCGCAACTGAAACCAATTGGATGAGAGGCGGTCGAGAAGCTTTTCTGCCTGTGGAGCACATCACGCCACGTGCCGATGCTTCAACAAACGGCGTCAGAAGCATCGCTCGCACCTCACTCGCCATGCCTCGAAAATGGTAGGCATTGTCCGTGAAGTGCCCGTCCAGGTCACTCAATCGTCCAAAGGTGGACGCCTACGTGTTCGGGAAATCGGCGCCGGCCGTGTTTCCATGCTAACACCAAACGAAGAGGCGCTGCGATGCAAGGCCTGCGGGGGGAGGGGGTGTGAGTGAGGCACCAGTTCAGCTGCGAACGAGCAAAATGCCAACGACGATTTTCTGAAATCCTGATAGAAGTGTGCTGACGGCTTATGACAGCAGGGGACGCGCCCTGCTTTTGTCCTCCGGGTGCCAATCGGAACATGGGGTTTTGGCGGCTAATCCTCGGCTGGATAGCTGGACATGTCTGAATGCAGTAGCTCCAGCGTACAGACGATACGCAGCTGGAAGCCGCCAACAGGTGTATCATCCGGAGCAAAGTCCTTTCACCAGTCTGAAACCGCGGCATGGTCCGGAAGCTTGAAATGTGACTTCACAATGCAGCTGTATCCAGGCTGTATCGCGAGATTAGATGTTGTATGATATGTGGAAGCCCAAGGCGAGATTAAATCTTGTATGGTACGTGGAAGCCCAAGGTTGAGAGTATCTGATTCCTGCAGGACCCAAACCTTTTCTGGAGTCTTAGTCTTCTCGTGAAGTTTCACCTCTCAGCACAGGCGACTCGGCGCTGGAAGGTCATAACACACTACTTACCTTCCCATGAGGCATTGCGTGCAGATTTGTGCTGGTAACGCGCGATACCTCGATCTAGGTCTAGGTGCTTCCATTTGCTGCTACAGCTTTTCAAGCAAACGCGGTGCTTCCCTTGTTGTTGACACTCTTGCCTAGCTGAATCAATACGAAAATAAGCAAGAGCTAACTGCAGGAGTTCCCTGCTATTGCTGCTCGAACCTTCGTATTATACAAATCGGTTGATGTGCAGCGAGCTTTCCGTTGTCTGAGTTGAGACCTGTAAAGACACAGTGTTCAGGGTGTGATGTGTCAGTCTCTTCGTTGTTCTAGCAAATGGGAGTTTCAGAAGACAAATCGCTCGATAAAGGCCCTGGCTAGCGGGCTCCTGAATTGAAAAACCGCGACAACCGGATCCCAATAGAAGCCCCTCAAAGCATGTAAGATGCCACAGGAGTTGGAAGCAAGACGTCGGAACATGGAGGAAAAGATTGAGCAGCTGCCGCGAGCTTAAGCATGACGCCGCTGTCCAGGTTCGCCAGCACGGAAATTTGTTGAAATTTGTTTGGTAGGTATGTGTTGCTTTTCAGAGGCGGGAGAACTACAATCCTGCGAAATGGATCATCGGCTTCGTTTCTGCAGTGCAGCCCAATGGGGTCTACGTCAGCGTTATAGATGGGCAGGAGCTCCAAAAATGCACATGTTGCGTCACTTGCCTGTCGCTTTAATTGGATGTTTCCCACGCTTCTTGAGCGTGGCTACCTCCGAGTGTGAGAGGGCTTGTTATCCACACACAGTTCTTCAGCTGTCTCGTGTAGGCCAACTAGCTACGGCCCCTCTTTTGCGACCAGCGTCGCGGGAGCGGTGCTTCCATCAATCACGCTCCGTTCCCCTCCTTTAGCCTTTCGGAAGCCAACACTCCGAGCCTCTTGTTGCAGTGGCTCCCTGTCTATCCTATCCCTGTCTCTTTCTCTCTCGCCCTTTTTGTCCGTTCTGTGCCTCTGTCTGGTACTGTTTTGTGTTGTAGTTTGGTCTTTTTTGGCGACAGGATGCAAGGATACCTCTGAAGGAACTGCCGGAGAAGTTCTTGATGCCGGCGGAGGCCACTTGGCGACTGTTGCGACTAGAGTCGCGAGTATTGTCGATCATGCAGAAATTTCAGTTGAATAGCTGCCAGGATGGCTCAGGCGAAGCCAAACCAACCCTGGAGATTGGCCAGGTGCGCAATTGGCTAAACAACCGGCTGAAAATACAACATGTTGCCAAAAGAGGCTGTCCAATTCCGGCTCGTTCGCTACTCGTGGGGATCCGAACCTCGGCTAGTTTTTTTCCGGAATGATTGGATACAAGTCTTTCCCGGTAGAGTCACAGCAGACCGCATGCAACAAGGAATGATTAAGTGCGGACGTTGCGGGCTGCGTGTCAACACCCTTCTCCGAATTTCGCATCGAAGGAAAGTTTCGCGGCATCCATGTTGCCTGTGGTGGAAAGACAACAGAGGCAGCTCAATTTGAAGTCTTGCTTCTGAACGTGGTCCTGGGACGGCTGAGAGGACTCGCGAAAGAGATCGCCCTACGGACTTCGAAGCTGAAAGGTCACGGTGCCAGCGCTAAAACGTCTTGTCGGGTCACCCCGGGCCTCCAGCATCCTAGTCCACTCGGAGTTGTCAGGCCTCCATCGCCAGATCGTTCAGCAGGAGCCAAAGCATGGGCGGCCAAGGTCAGTGCGTTTTTGTTTGGCTTATCGAATTCACTTCTGATCACGAGCTGGCGATCTTCGAATCAGGGGTACAGCGTGGTGACGCATGAAGCTGCAGTGGAGCTCAACGGCTGGATTCGCTCCAGAATAGAGGTATGCCACTCAGGACACCCCGACAAGGTTCTGTTCGTTTTAGAAAATGCAGGAGAAGAAGTCGACGAAGGGCTCGAAGGCACTGGTCAAGGCGCCTGATGCAGCAGAAACTGTGCCCTCGCCTCATGTTCGGTGGTTGCCTTGGCCCTGGTTGCAGACCAGCAACAAGACTTACCTGGTCAGCGTCGTCCGTGGCATGAACACGAAGGCAGAACCCTTGGCTTGCATGTTCTTCACCACCATTGCCGATTGTGATGAGCTCGCTTCGGTTGACCAGGCTGTTGGCAGCATCGATGTGGAGAAAAATGTTTCAGACAAGGAGGCGCAGCCTTGCGTGCTTGTGCATTTGTGCTTAGCTGTTCCGGAAGGTTAAGCAAGCCGCCGTGGACCTGCTCTTCAAGCAGAGCCTCTTGAAGGTCTGCGTGTTGCATCAGTGAGCCGACGTGTCTTCCTCTTCTGTGTCAGGCCGGGGAACAGCACAAAGGAATTGTCATCACAAAGAACATCATCAGCATCAAATTGTGAGATGGAAGCTGAGGGAACGGGTGGTGGCTGTGCTTGTACATAACAGAGCAGCTCGCAGAACACATGCGGGGCACTGCACAGTCAGTCAACCGAACGCTAGTTCAAAATCCGCATCTCGCCACACATTCCTCCACCAGATTCCGTGGAGGCATTCATCAACACACTACTTGCTCCCGAAAATTCAATAGAATGGAAGCAAATGAGATTTCTAGATAATGGTAGATTAAAATTTGATATTGCGACAATCAGTCGATTCGATATAGAAATAATGATCTCAGATCTCGTTGAAAGATATTCGAATTTTGGGTAATTTTAAAAAAATCTTTTTCATATTATCTTGCAATTCTCGACTATATTATTTTATAATTAGACTCGAAATTATATATATATACATATGATTTTGTCTATCTCTAAAAAGTCAAAAAATATACATTAATTCTATAAATAGAATTTGCTTAAAAAGAATTATTTATATATATCTATAATTTTAAAATATATATTTAATTTGTTTTATTTTGATGAAGGTTTTTGAATATATAATTTATAAGATAAAGATGAACTGAATATTATTTGTTTTGTTTTTTCATTTTGATTGAAAAAAAGACGAATGGAAAGATTTTATTGATTAGGTTCGTTCGAAAATAGTAAAAATTTTTCTGAAATCGAAATATTTTTTATTAATTGGTCTTCTGAATCTATTTGTCTGTAAAATTTTGAGTATAATAGTACGATTGTAAATATAAGATATCTGAATTCGATATGATGTCGAAAGGAAGATGAGGAATTATCGGATATCTAAAGGTATATATTTGAAGAAAAATTGAGAGGAATTCGAATAATAATATTTTTATGGCGAAAGCTTGCTTATGTCTTGGCAATGGTTCTGTTTTTATAAAAGAGATTATGAGAATAAGTTTCGAGGTCTGACGTAGTCGGATTTAGGTAGTAGGTTTTAAGATTTCTGAAATTCGATTATGCGGGATTTGAAATCTATTGCTGGTTCCATACCATATCTATAAGAATATAATTTTGTCTTAATTTGGACGAAGAATATCTTATTAAAATGAGGCATATTAAATATCTGTAAATAAATCGTAGCCGACGGCTAAGCTTTTAATAAATTATCGAATTGGAGTTGTCGAAACATTTGAAGATTCTCTTGCCTAAGATATAAATCTTTTATCATTGTGGGAATAGCCATAAATTTCGAAATCTAATCCTTATTCATTTATGAATTACTATATTTGTTGTCATCGACAATATTACGACTCTTTATTTTAATTTTAAATTGGTTCTATATAAACATAATTTCATGAAAAATATTAAATATTTTATTTTAAAATTATAATTTTCCTATATAATATGAAATAAAATATTGTATAAATATATAATATAAAATAAATATTAATCCTATTTTAAAATAGAATTCAAAAAAAAATATATATAAACTAATATGAAAAATTATCAGAATAATCTAAAAAATATCATTAAATTCTTCAATAAATAATATATCTTTAAAGCAAAAAAACATATTATATTGCTTAATTTATTAAATAAGATTCCGAATATATTAAATATAATATTAAATTAAATTTAAATAATTTTAGGTAGGTATTAATTTAAAAGATAAGAATTTAATTATATATAAAATACCACAAATTATATCTTTTTAAATATCCAATAAAAATCATTATCGCCCGAAACCCTAATTTCAAACAAAAAATTATCGACCCATATATTCTTAGAAATATTACGATAGCTCTTTAATTATCTCTATGTCTATCGAATACCTATATCTAAGTCTATTTTTATCTATTTTCATTCATATATCCATCTTTATCTATATAATATAGCTATCTACCTCGAATTATCTCTATTTCGATCTTTATCTCTATTATATTTATTTGTCTTTTTATCTCTATCTCTCTTTATTTTAGATATTTATTTCCTTATTTGTATTCCTATTGGTTTGTTGCTGAATAGAAGAAAATAAGTAGAAAAATCAACTATTCAAGTATTGAAATAAATAGATCATCGATATCTCAATTTGAAATATATGGTTCGATATTTTCACATGAGAGTACGAATAAACGAGATCATTCCGATCATCGAATAAATATTATAGCTCTTCATATTATTTATAAACTAGATTTAGATTTGCTTCGAATATGAAATCCACCCTTGGATCTTGTGAGGTCCCCGTGGTAGGTTAAACCGACAGAACGCCAACCACATGCAAGCACTGAGTCCATTTGGGTTTCTAGTGGGCAAATAATCGGTGCCGCTTCCAGGAGCAGCTGCAGCTACACCCTGGCAGGGCAGTTCAGCACACTTCAGCGCCGAGTTTGGGGGTTTAGGATTTAGGGTCCTGCAGTAGGCACCATCAGGACTGTTGAGGTAACTGGGCGAGCTTTGCTTTTGCACATTCACAGAATCGCTCTCTTCAAGAAAGCAGCAGGTGTCCTTCAGGAGCATTGCATTGAATTGGCGAAGTGCCTCGGCAGGTCGAACGACATCAAAACCATTTTGAGCTTCCTTTTTACCCTTTTTACCCTGTTTTTAAGGCTGGAGCACCAAATTCTGCTGACTCCTACCTGAGTAAACCCTAGATTTCTGCTGCTGTCCTGAGCTTAACAATGAAGTTGACAAAGCTGCCGGCACAAGGCCTTCCGCCTTTGTGGAATCAACGATATTGGTACGGTGGCACCTTGCAAAGCTCGCAAATAATTCGCGTTCGTGTGAATCTACAGCAGATGCAAAAGTGCACTGGAGACTGGAGATCACAGCTTCCGATCCCGGACAATTCTCAGGTGCATCAACCAAAGCACAGGCCTGTGCAACAGGCTGGTACAAAGGTGTAGACAGAGGTGTCTGCGTTGGAATGTATGATGGCTGCGACCTGGGCAGAGGACTCTCGAACGTGACGCGGAGGGCTTTGCCGGGCCGCAGATTGCAAAGCATTGCTCTGGAGACGCTTAGCTGCCGACCCGCTCGCGACACTCACGGCCGGGTACTGACCGTGCCGCAAGCTTCGAATCGCCTAGCCAGGATCGCCGGGCCAGTGTGAGAACGGCTACACTTCTGGCTGCGCTGACACACGGCCTCCGCTCCGGAGGTCTCAATTTGAGAAGCCATTTGCTGCGACAAGGCCTTGGGCAAGGCCGATGGACTCTTGCGTAAAGCTCGGGTGGCATGCCACAAGGTTCGTAGTATCGTCAAAATGGATTTCAATTTTCCTGACAAAGGAACAGAGGCCCGGTACAGGACCTCTTTATCCTGCAAACGGACAAACCTGCTTCCAACGATCGACAGTTTTCGGAGTCTTGTTTTGGATCTGAGCACGACTTCTATGGGTGTTTTGAGGCCAAGAAAACCCCGAGAATGTTCCACTAGGTTCCGCTACTCTTTGCAAAGTCCAGCAGCGATGCTGAAGCGACGAGTAGCTGCATGCCCACCCCGTACGTCTACACCAATCGCAAAGGCCCCGACCAGCAAGGATCCGTCACCAGCCGGCACTGGCGCCACTGACATTACTTGCGCTCCGGATGCAACCTGTGCGCCAGGCCTGACAAAAGGCAACATTCAATTCAATCTGCCGATCTTTCCCACGTACAAGGTGATGAAAATGGAGCGAACGCTGCAGTCGAGGAACATCGCAATGCTTCCCTGGTAGCCCTGCAAGCTGGTGCCGGCCGTGGGACTTCCGGAGTACACATTTGGCAGCTGCACCCTGAGCAAATCTATCCAACGCGTGGAGCAAGACATCCTAAAACCGCTGCCTTCTTCTAGCCCGGGTCTGCGGAAATCCGAGGGAGCGACGCTGCTCTGTTGTTGCTCTGCAGAGGAAGGGAGTACTGCTGGACGGGAACCGGCGAAGGAACCGGAACCATTTGGGGCCTTGGGCAGAGTACGCATACGCGGCTGCACGAAATCTTTGACATCTTGGCCTCACGAGCCCCTCCGAATGTTTGAAGACTGAGAAACTTTGAAGTCCGTGGTTTGCTTTCCTTACCTCCTCCCAAGAATGGGCCTGGGCCCTATGCTTGCTCACATTCTGGGAGCAAGCTTTAGGCATAGCAACACGGCCAGGTCCCAGAGTCCCAGGTGTATCTAGGCTGGAGGGAGCATCAAAACTTTGTGCGTGAATTGCCTGGGTTGCCTGTGTTTTCCTGTTGCACAAAAGCACACTCCGCGAGACAGCAGAGTGGCAGCCTTTGGTGCCTGCGACTCATGCGCGGCTGCATGTGTTGCTCCCATCTCGTTTCAGAAATTTGTTAGGCCAGAGGTTCATGAGACGGATGGGGTGAACGCTGCGAAACACAGAGCTGTTCGTAGACAGCCACCAGCAATCTACAAGCTTCTTGTACAAATGGATCATGTAGGTAGCCGACACAGCTGGTATGGCAGGACCTCCTGAGGCACGAATCTGGTGTCTGAAGCTCACAAATCCACTTCGCAAGATAAGGCTTGCACGTGTCTGGCTAATGACCCGCTGGTGTCTCGGCCTAAGCGCTGCACAACCACTCTCATGCCAGAGGTGTTGCACACCACCTGTTCCGAGGCTGCTGCAGCGAGGACCCTGCAAACCTCACAGGTGCAATGCGCTTGCACATGTCAATGTTCCTGAAGATAACAACAGCATTCGCCTGTTCGACTGTCCCTCTGTAGCTACGCCTAACGTGCCTGCGGTGCACAAGAATTAAACCTGTACGATAAGTTGCAACCTCGGGTGAGCTGTCGGCCGGTGTTTTGGGGGCAGCGTCGAGAGGTCGACGCCATGGGCTGTAGAATCTGCTGCGGCCCCGGCTGTTGCATGTCGGGCATCTGTATGTCTACATCCGTCGGCAGGGTTGGCAAATCCTGCCTGAGCTGCGCAGTGAGCATCCGCAATCGGAACACAGTCCGTTCTCGGGTGTCCAACACATCTCTGACAATTCGTGGCTTGTCCTGAGTCCAGATCCAATGACATCAGCGAAATCCATCAACAAAGCGAACAAAGC